CGTTGGGGGGTTGCCGGCCGTATGAGATTTGAAGTTGGGCACGAAACAGAATGGACCATCATGGAGTATGTATTACACGTGTAAGGCATGCAGATTGATGTTTTATGTACATACACAATTATATAAATTATACCAGCTTACATACATGTATGCTTTATCTCAGGCAGAGTCCCTAGCGCTGGAGCTGGCATACCACCTCAGGGATGGCATCTCCAGGACTTTCCATGGGGATTTACATCAGAATTGCTGTGGTTTTTGGGAGTTTATAGGGGTTTTCTGAACTCAGGGACTCCAAGGGGTCATTTTTCCAAGATTGGTGAATTTCAATTCAATGCGAAGAAACAAGGGGAGAAGGGCACATCATTTTCGCGAGAAACACCCACGTTGAACAGGGACATTAACCAACAAGTCGCGATTAGTAAGGTGATGAGCCACTCAACCAGTCCGTCCTTCTATAGTAGATTGAGGATCGTAGATTTCTGTAAGTTGTATATAGGTATATGTAGGTTCTTGTCCTGGGTGGTCGATGTGAATGCAATTTCATATAATTTCATGACAAATCCAATGGTCATGCTGAGTCATGCTAAACCAGATACAACGAGAATTTGACACGATCAGCGTGGCCATTTCAACGGCCAGGCAGGAAGTAGAAAACCTGCGAACCCAGCCCGGTGCTTAGCTTTTCAGGGCAACAAATGAAACAAATCCGATAGGGACAGAATAAAGACCCCAGATCGGGGATATCCTGTAGTCAAAAATGGCAATTCGAAATCCAAATGTGCATAAAGGAAAACCATCAAAATGGGGGACTGTCCACTGCCAGGCTAGAGTAGCGAGGGGTTTCACCGTTTTCACCGGACTTTGACGTACTGCCAAGGGCATACAAGGCACTGGAGAAGACGGCCAAGACGCAAAATAGTTCCTTGGATTCACAGGTTTGTGTTCTTGAGAATTGGCGACCTCCAAACCAAAGCACCATCTTACCAAGGCAAAGGGTAAAACCGAGTCCCCTTGATTCTTCATTTTATCTGAGACACAATCCCTTTCCACTGCTTTTCCAAATCAATTCGATGCCCACGTTGACTCAAGGGTTGACCAACCACATGGATCATCCATGATCATAGCCCGTGGTGACCCTGAGGATCTGCCTCCAAGGAGCGACCAACTGATCTCCTCCGGTTGGGAAGTGGCTTCATTGCCAGGAGAAATACATATATACATATATGGCCTATGTATATATATATATATGTATATATGTATATATGTATATATGTATATATGTATATATGTATATATGTATATATGTATATATGTATATATGCATATATATATGTATATATGTATATATGTATATATTTATATATGTATATATGTATATATGTATATATGTATATATTTATATATGTATGTATATATATATATGTATATATCATCACACACACATATATATATATACACAATATAGTCGTTAGTGGAGACCAGGGCAGCATGGTGAAACATGGTGGAATCTGAAACGACTCTCATTTTTTTGAACCACGGACCATGATTTCTTCCAGAGATCTTTTTCCCGAGAGCGTCTGAGCGCAGGGTTCTTCCAATAGTGGGGGTCTGTATCTCATCTTCTCATCTTCACACCTTCTCTCACACCTTCTCTCACACCTTCTCTCACACCTTCTCATCTTCACATCTTCTCATCTTCACACCTTCTCATCTTCACATCTGCTCATCTTCACATACTCACATACTCACATCTTCACTTTCTCTCTCTCGCACTCACATCTTCACATACTCACATCTTCTCTCTCTCTCTCTCTATCTCTCTCTCTCTCTCTCCTTTTTCTCTCTCTCTCTCTCTCTCTCCTCTTTCCTCTCTTCTTTCTCTCTCTCCTTTCTCTCTCCCTTTTCTCTCTCTCGCCTTCTTTATCTTTCTCTCTTTAGGCCGAGGGTGGTGCCGGCGGGGAGTCACGAAACGTCAACCCTTTCGCACGAGGGTCAATCGTCAAAAACTGAGGAAAAATTGCGATTTTACTTGTGCCGGAGCAACCCTTTCGCACGAAATGAGGGTCGATGCGCAAAACCTGAGGTAAAATTGCGATTTTACTTGTGCCGGACTTGTCTGTGTGTAAAAGCGTCTGTGTGTAAAAGCGTCTGTGTGTAAAAGCGTCTGTGTGTAAGAGTCTCTGTGTGTAAAAGTGTTTGTGTGTAAAAGTGTTTGTGCGTAAAAGCTTCTGTGTGTAAAAGCTTCTGTGTGTAAAAGCGTCTGTGTGTAAAAGACTGTGTGCAAAAGCGTCTGTGTGTAAAAAGCGTCTGTGTGTAAAAGCGTCTGTGTGTAAAAGCTTCTGTGTATACAAGCGTCTGTGTGTAAAAGCGTCTGTGTGTAAAAGCGTCTGTGTGTAAAAGCGTCTGTGTGTAAAAACATCTGTGTGTAAAAGCGTCTGTGTGTAAAAGTGTTTGTGTGTAAAAGTGTTTGTTTGTAAAAGCGTCTGTGTGTAAAAGCGTCTGTGTGTAAAAGCGTCTGTGTGTAAAAGCGTCTGTGTGTAAAAGCGTCTGTGTGTAAAAGCGTCTGTAAACGCTTCTGTGTGTAAAAGCGTCTGTGTGTAAAAACATCTGTGTGTAAAAGCGTCTGTGTGTAAAAGCGTCTGTGTGTAAAAGCTTCTGTGTGTAAAAGTGTTTGTATGTAAAAACATCTGTGTGTAAAAGCGTCTGTGTGTAAAAGCGTCTGTGTGTAAAAGCGTCTGTGTGTAAAAGTGTTTGTATGCAAAAGCGTCTGTGTGTAAAAGCGTCTGTGTGTAAAAGGGTCTGTGTGTAAAAGCCTCTGTGTGTCAAAGCGTCTGTGTGTAAAAGCTTCTGTGTGTAAAAGCGTCTGTGTGTAAAAGCGTCTGTGTGTAAAAGCTTCTGTGTGTAAAAGCGTCTGTGTGTAAAAGTGTTTGTGTGTAAAAGTGTTTGTGTGTAAAAGTGTTTGTGTGTAAAATCGTCTGTGTAAGAGCCGCTGTGTGTAAAAATCTCTGTGTGTAAAAGTCTCTGTGTGTAAAAGCCTCTGTGTGTAAAAGCGCCTGTGTGTAAAAGCGTCTGTGTGTAAAAGCGTCTGTGTGTAAAAGCGTCTGTGTGTAAAAGCGTCTGTGTGTAAAAGTCTCTGTGTGCAAGAGCGTCTGTGTGTAAAAGCGTCTGTGTGTAAAAGCGTCTGTGTGTAAAAGCCTCTGTGTGTAAAAGCGTCTGTGTGTGTTGTGTGTAAAAGTGTCTGTGTGAAAAAGTGTCTGTGTGTGAAAGCGTCTGTGTGTAAAGCGTCTGTGGTGTAAAGCTTCTGTGTGTAAAAAGCGTCTGTGTGTAAAAGCTTCTGTGTGTAAAAGCTTCTGTGTGTAAAAGCGTTCTGTGGAGTGTAAAAGTCTCTGTGTGTGAAGTGTTTGTGTTTAAAATTGTCGGGGGTAACAGCCTCGTGTGTAAAAGCCCTGGTGTAAAAGCGTCTGTGTGTAAAAGCGTCTGTGTGTAAAAACATCTGTGTGTAAAAGCGTCTGTGTGTAAAAGTGTTTGTGTGTAAAAGCGTCTGTGTGTGTAAAAGCGTCTGTGTGTAAAAGCGTCTGTGTGTAAAAGCGTCTGTGTGTAAAAGCGTCTGTGTGTAAAAGTCTCTGTGTGTAAACGCTTCTGTGTGTAAAAGCGTCTGTGTGTAAAAACATCTGTGTGTAAAAGCGTCTGTGTGTAAAAGCGTCTGTGTGTAAAAGCGTTTGTGTGTAAAAGCGTCTGTGTGTAAATGCGTCTGTGTGTAAAAGAGCCTGTGAGTAAAAGCCTCTGTGTGCAAAAGCGTCTGTGTGTAAAAGCATCTGTGTGTCAAAGCTTCTGTGTGTAAAAGCGTCTGTGTGTAAAAGCTTCTGTGTGTAAAAGCGTCTGTGTGTAAAAGCGTCTGTGTGTAAAAGCGTCTGTGTGTAAAAGCGTCTGTGTGTAAAAGCTTCTGTGTGTAAAAGCTTCTGTGTGTAAAAGCGTCTGTGTGTAAAAGTCTCTCTGTGTAAAAGTGTTTGTGTGTAAAAGTGTTTGTGTGTAAAATCGTCTGTGTAAGAGCGTCTGTGTGTAAAAATCTCTGTGTAAAAGTGTCTGTGTGTAAAAGTTTCTGTGTGTCAAAGCGTCTGTGTGTAAAAGTGTCTGTGTGTAAAAGTGTCTGTGTGTAAAAGCGTCTGTGTGTAAAAGCGTCTGTGTGTAAAAGCGTCTGTGTGTAAAAGCGTCTGTGTATGTAAAAGTCTCTGTGTGTAAAAGTGTTTGGGTGTAAAAGTCTCTGTATGCAAAATCGTCTGTGTGTAAAAGCGTCTGTGTGTAAAAGTCTCTGTGTGTAAAAGTCTCTGTGTGTAACAGTCTCTGTGTGCAAAAGCGTCTGTCTGTAAAAAGTTCTGTGTATGAAAGGCTCTGTGTGTAAAAGCGTCTGTGTGTAAAAGCTTCTGTGTGTAAAAGCTTCTGTGTGTAAAAGCGTCTGTGTGTGTAAAAGTCTCTGTGTGTAAAAGTGTTTGTGTGTAAACGTGTTTGTGTGCAAAATCGTCTGTGTGTAAAAGAGCCTTTGTGTAAAAAGCGTCTGTGTGTAAAAGCGTCTGTGTGTAAAAGCTTCTGTGTGTAAAAGCGTCTGTGTGTAAAAGCTTCTGTGTGTAAAAGCTTCTGTGTGTAAAAGCGCCTGTGTGTGTCAAAGTCTCTGTGTGTAAAAGTGTTTGTGTGTAAAAGGGTTTGTGTGCAAAATCGTCTGTGTGTAAAAGCGTCTGTGTGTAAAAGTCTCTGTGTGTAAAAGTCTCTGTGTGTAAAAGTCTCTGTGTGCAAAAGCGTCTGTCTGTAAAAAGTTCTGTGTATGAAAAACTTTACAAAAATACGATGCAAACTATTGTCTTGTACTAGTCATATATTGTCTTGATACTACTCTTCTCGTCTGCCTATAATACATCTGTAATATATTATCTTGTAATATAGTGTCTCCATACTAACAACAGAAGACTCTGCTCCTCTACGCTCTCGGGCCCTCCGTCGTCTAGTTGATGATTTTCTTCCACTCGGGCTTAAAGGAGTTGGCCGCCAACGGTTGGCCGCAGGCAAAAGCAGAAAAACCCGCAGAAAAGACAACGAAAAAAGCAACTGAAAAGACCGCAAAAAAGGCCACAGAAAAGGATACGGAAAAGGGTGCGGAAAAGGTGCAGCCAGCGCCGAAGGCCAGTAAGATCGTACAGGATGGTGACCTGTTGCCTCAAAAGTGTGTCAGTGAGCACAATTGTGAGGTCCCCATAAATTCTTTGGAGGATTTTCAGGTCTGAAAACATTGGATTTCCTGCCAGGAATGAACATTGCCATAGGTCAATTCTGTTGCCCCAATGGCTCTTAGCTTGTCATGGGAGGCGCCTGGCACCAGCGCATCTTCTTCAGCAGCTCCAGCGACTGAGCCGATGAAGGAGCCAGATAGTGAGCCCGAAGCAGAGGAGATGCTTGGCCACATCCAATTGATGGCCATTTTTTGGGGAACATGAGAAGCCAATGAGATCCAGATATGGGATTTTGGGGAATCCAGTTTTGCAGTAAAACCCATGTCTTGCTATATCTTGGTATTTTGACGTCATGGGATGATGATCCAGGTTGAGATGAATTTGGGTTTGTCACCTGGACTGGTGGTGAAATTTCCTTCTGGATGTCCAAGCCGCAGCCCTCTGGCTGTGGCCTTGGCAAGATGTTAAGGTCGCAAATCCCTTTACACCCAAAAAAGTGCAACATCATCACCTCTGTGGCGTCATTCCGAGGCAAACTATTCCTCTTTCTGAAGCAGTTGGGTTTGAGGAATCCCACAACGGGAGTCACCGGGACGAAGGGGTGTGAAGTTCGGACTTTTGCTTCAGCTTTTCAGCTCCAAGGATTGCGCCAGTGAGGGAGGCGGAGCTCCTTCGAGCCTTAAAGGCGGGGTGAAGTGTTTTGGTGTGGCTTGCTTAACTTGCTGAAGGCTAAGCTGCTATTCCAAGAAATTTGCTGCTCCGACATTTACAATCATTTGCACATGACATCATAAAAGAGTCAGAGATCTGTAGAGTCCGTGATGCCAAGAATAGTGCCATGGAGATGAAAGTCCACCCGCCGCAGAGTACTTTGTCCTGAAACGCGTGGATGGGCATTTGTATTTTTTATGAATCACATTGGCTTCGTATCCCAATGCAACTTTCAATGTCGTCCCCTGCTGACCTTCCAATGTGATTTCAAACTATAACAGTTTCAATCAGTTTCAAGGGTCATGAAATAACAAACAGCTTCTTTTGACCATGTTTCCTGACTCAATGGGCCTCCAAGAAGAACATTTTGCATGCGCTTTTATCCAATGTGAAACGGAGAGAAATTCCGGACGTTGACTGCAGGGCTCAGCAGCTTCGGTTCAGGCAGCGCCCCTTGAGAAGCTGGAGACTTCGAAGGTGCCGCAGGCAGTTTTTTTTTGCTGCGGCAGGGTAACCTTTGCACTTTTCGTTGTATAAGTTGCTAGGCTTCCATACCCAAGCTTGTTATCTGCAAGAAACGCAGAATATCTCAATAAGTAACCACATTCAGAATCCCAAGCTTGCTTAACTTGCTGAAGGCTAAGCTGCTATTCCAAGAAATTTGCTGCTCCGACATTTACAATCATTTGCACATGACATCATAAAAGAGTCAGAGATCTGTAGAGTCCGTGATGCCAAGAATAGTGCCATGGAGATGAAAGTCCACCCGCCGCAGAGTACTTTGTCCTGAAACGCGTGGATGGGCATTTGTATTTTTTATGAATCACATTGGCTTCGTATCCCAATGCAACTTTCAATGTCGTCCCCTGCTGACCTTCCAATGTGATTTCAAACTATAACAGTTTCAATCAGTTTCAAGGGTCATGAAATAACAAACAGCTTCTTTTGACCATGTTTCCTGACTCAATGGGCCTCCAAGAAAGGGATGAGACTTATTTAAGGGCTGCCGCCCCTGCCGCCGACCCCGGACAAAAAAAGAGGTTCGCAGGAGAAGAGACGACATATTAACAGCGTCAAAATCGAGCCCAAAAACTCCACTGCTGCTGCTGCTGCTGCTGCTGGTGCGGCTAAACTTGCTTGTCTTTGCTTTACTTCTCCTGCTGCTGCTGCTGCGCCTGCTGCGGTAGTAGTCCGCCAAAAACTGCCTAACGTCCCTTCTGAAACCCTAGAAAAACAATAGTTTTGGACAAGGTTTTATGGTTTTCGACCAATTTGTATACCACTGTTTCTACAATGAGACATAGAACCCTCCTGTTGCTCCTGTTGCTGCTGCTGCTCTTCCTCTCGAGGCTGAAAACACACCCTCCCGGACAGGGAAACACAGTGGCCCTGAAGGACGGAACAGCGCCAAAATCGAGCCCAAAAACTCCCTAACGTCCCTTCTGAAACCCTAGAAAAACAATAGTTTTGGACAAGGTTTTATGGTTTTCGACCAATTTTTATACCAGTGTTTCTACAATGAGACATAGAACCATCCTGTTGCTCCTGTTGCTGCTGCTGCTGCTCTTCCTCCCGAGGCTGAAAAAACGCACCCTCCCGGACAGGGAAACACAGTGGCCCTGAAGGACGGAACAGCGCCAAAATCGAGCCCAAAAACTCCCTAACGTCCCTTCTGAAACCCTAGAAAAACAATAGTTTTGGACAAGGTTTTATGGTTTTCGCCCAATTTTTATACCACTGTTTCTACAATGAGACATAGAACCCTCCTGTTGCTCCTGTTGCTGCTGCTGCTCTTCCTCCCGAGGCTGAAAATACGCAGTTTGATTCCAGACAGGGAAACACCAGTTGGACCTTGTTATATGACGTGAGTAACGCGCTGTGAGAACTCGAGCCCAAAAACTCCCTAACGTCCCTTCTGAAACCCTAGAAAAACAATAGTTTTGGACAAGGTTTTATGGTTTTCGACCAATTTTTATACCAGTGTTTCTACAATGAGACATAGAACCATCCTGTTGCTCCTGTTGCTGCTGCTGCTGCTCTTCCTCCCGAGGCTGAAAAAACGCACCCTCCCGGACAGGGAAACACAGTGGCCCTGAAGGACGGAACAGCGCCAAAATCGAGCCCAAAAACTCCCTAACGTCCCTTCTGAAACCCTAGAAAAACAATAGTTTTGGACAAGGTTTTATGGTTTTCGCCCAATTTTTATACCACTGTTTCTACAATGAGACATAGAACCCTCCTGTTGCTCCTGTTGCTGCTGCTGCTCTTCCTCCCGAGGCTGAAAACGCACCCTCCCGGACGGGGAAACACAGTGGCCCTGAAGGACGGAACAGCGCCAAAATCGAGCCCAAAAAGTGCCTAACGTCCCTTCTGAAACCCTAGAAAAACAATAGTCTTGGACAAGGTTTTATAGTTTTCGACCAATTTTTATACCACTGTTTGTACAATGAGACATAGAACCCTCCTGTTGCTCCTGTTGCTGCTGCTGCTCTTCCTCCCGAGGCTGAAAACGCACCCTCCCGGACGGGGAAACACAGTGGCCCTGAAGGACGGAACACCGCCAAAATCGAGCCCAAAAAGTGCCTAACGTCCCTTCTGAAACCTTAGAAAAACAATAGTTTTGGACAAGGTTTTATAGTTCTCAACCAATTTTTGTACCACTGTTTGTACAATGAGACATAGAACCCTCCTGTTGCTCCTGTTGCTGCTGCTGCTCTTCCTCCCGAGGCTGAAAACGCACCCTCCCGGACGGGGAAACACAGTGGCCCTGAAGGACGGACCAGCGCCAAAATCGAGCCCAAAAAGTGCCTAACGTCCCTTCTGAAACCTTAGAAAAACAATAGTTTTGGACAAGGTTTTATAGTTTTCGACCAATTTTTATACCACTGTTTGTACAATGAGACATAGAACCCTCCTGTTGCTCCTGTTGCTGCTGCTGCTCTTCCTCCGGAGGCTCCAAACGCACCCTGCCGGACAAGGGAAACACAGTGGGCCCGGAAGGAACGGAAACAGCGCCCAAAAATCGGCCCAAAAATTCTAACGTCCCTTTTTTCTCGAAATCTAGAAAAACACTAGTTTGGACAGGTTTATGGTTTTCGCTCAATTTTTCTACCACTGTTTCATACAATGAGACATCGAACCTCCTGTGTCCTGTGCTTTGCTGCTGCTATTCTCCCGAGCAACCCTCCCGGACAGGGAAACACAGTGGCTCTGAAGGACGGAACAGCGCCAAAATCGAGCCCAAAAAGTCCCTAACGTCCCTTCTGAAACCCTAGAAAAACAATAGTTTTGGACAAGGTTTTATGGTTTTCGACCAATTTTTATATCACTGTTTGTACAATGAGACATACAACCCTCCTGTTGCTCCTGTTGCTGCTGCTGCTCTTCCTCCCGAGGCTGAAAACGCACCCTCCCGGACAGGGAAACACAGTGGCCCTGAAGGACGAAACAGCGCCAAAATCGAGCCCAAAAAGTCCTTAACGTCCCTTCTGAAACCCTAGAAAAACAATAGTTTTGGACAAGGTTGTATGGTTTTCGACAATTTTTATACCACTGTTTGTACAATGAGACATACAACCCTCCTGTTGCTCCTGTTGCTGCTGCTGCTCTTCCTCCCGAGGCTGAAAACGCACCCTCCCGGACAGGGAAACACAGTGGCCCTGAAGGACGGAACAGCGCCAAAATCGAGCCCAAAAAGTCCCTAACGTCCCTTCTGAAACCCTAGAAAAACAATAGTTTTGGACAAGGTTTTATGGTTTTCGACCAATTTTTATACCACTGTTTGTACAATGAGACATACAACCCTCCTGTTGCTCCTGTTGCTGCTGCTGCTCTTGCTGCTGCTCATGGCCACCACTTGAAACGCTGAAACGCCACCTAATTTCGTGCCCAAAACGCTCCAAAATCGAGCCCAAAAAGTGCCTAACGTCCCTTCTGAAATCCTAGAAAAAAAAAGAACTTTTGCCTGCCTTTGTGATGATAACCGTCTTGTCAAACACCTTCTATTTCCTCCTGCTGCTGCTGCTGCTGCTCCTGCTCCTGTGACTCCTTCTGTTCAAAAGGCACCTGCCGGATGGGAAAACACCATGGCAGTAGTAGTAGTAGTAGTAGTAGTAGTAGTAGTAGTAGTAGTAGTCCGAAACAAGAGTCAAAAGTATTATTCCCTGGCACGCTCCCCCTTGCGTCTGCCGGGGTCGGCGGATATTGACTGCTGGCTACTGGCTGGGTGCTGCTGTCTTATTCCCTACCGCGCTCCCCCTTGCGCAGCCGGGGTCGGCGGATAATTTACCCAGTATCTTGGGGGCACCACCTTGTAAGGCTAAAGGCATAGCATGTCTTCTGATCCTTCGTCGAAAAACTTCGTCGTAATGTCCTGCCAGGACCTGAGAGGCGTGATCCAGGCAGAGAAACCGCAGTGATGAAAGGTGGAGGTGTGGCCTCACCAGGTCACGATAGGCAAAACCAACCATTTAATGGTGTATTATATATATAATGGGATATAATTATTGTTAATTTTGTATATATTATACATCATATGTGTATAATGTATGTTTAAATTTATGTTATTTGGATATGTGTCTGAACACGTGGACACATATAAAATGACCATGTTCATAGAGAATTTGATGATCCACTTGAATTTCGAAGAAATTTGTACCTTTGCTACAGGCTTTGGCAGGCCCTGGATCATTCAAGCGTTGCACATTTGACTAGTACTCCGCTTCCCCTAAGATGTTGAATCCATCCAAATAGACGACTCAATCCATGTTCTTCGATTCACATCTGAAACAGGGCTTCCAGTGGATATTCAATATTTCATAGGATCCGGCTGGTGCTGGTAGAAAAATGCTAACATAAATGGGGTATATTGATAGGATCCATGGCACACCATATATAGCAGCACCAGCCGGATCCGTCATGGGTACAATGTGGCCCCCCCAGTGATGTTAGTTGGTTTATAAGCCCCAGTAACTATAGATATAAGTACCATAAACCATAGTTATTGGAGCTATAAACCAACTTAGCTATCTAGGGGGCCTCACATCCTCACATTGTAGGGGAAGGGATTTCACATGCATGGCACAAGAATTTCCAGCCTGAGGTGGCCGTTCCAGATCCAGGAAAGCATGAGGACGGGTGCGAGGATAGGTTGGGTATGGTTGGGTCAAGATATGTTGGGTTTTAATGGATTTCAATGGATTGGTGGCAGGGAAAATTCATGGGATTTTAATGGATTTGAACGGGGATTTTAATGGATTTAGTGGGATTTTAATGGATTTAATGGGATTTTAATGGATTTAATGGGATTTTAGTGGATTTGAACGGGGATTTAATGGTGATTTAATGGTGATTTATGGGACATAATGTTCTTTTCTTTTCTTCCCAAATGTCTCCACATTTCCAGGTACCAATGGATGTCGCACGCTTTTTGAATTGTCTCTATAGTATCGAGATGACCATCAGCCACCCTCGGCCCCTGCTACTTTTTAATGTGGCCCCAATAACTCAATCAGCCCGTGTGTCTCCAGTTTCTGAGTACCTGGAATCCACTTGTGAACCAACACTGTGTTGGTTTTCTTGCATACAAATGATCAAAGATTGGGGTCAACAGCCCTGTAAAACGGATGTCAAAGCCAAGTTCTGAGGACCACGGCAGTTTTCAGAAATCACTTGGTCTGGCAAAAGAGGATCTTTTTTCCAAAATCTCTCGCTTGATCACAAGTTTCCCTTGGAAAACTCGGCCCTGGGAAGTTCCCATCATTTTTTTTCATGTCTGGGCTTTTTGAAGCCATGTCGGCAGTGTCTGAAAAAAGACTTGTCTAATGAAGCCACCAAGGCGTCACAGGTACCCTCTGGTAAACTAACATAGCTATTGAAAATGGCCATAGAAATAGTGAGTTTTCCCATTAAAAATGGTGATTTTCCATAGCTATGTTAAATTACCAGAGGGTACCCGGGTACCTTGATGGCCCATCAGATCCCCACACGAAGTCTGTTGATTTCACCAGATCCCATGAAATTCCATGAAAACAAGCACCATTAATGTTGCTGCTAAAAGATCTAAAAAAAAACGGTTGGCTAAGATTAAAATTCATGAAATGAATCATCATTCATATCATTCACGAGTCGAAATCACCATATTTTTGCTGAAATCTCTGAAGAAATCAGCATTTCGGTGGGTTAAGCCGGTGAGCCCCCACGAGTTCACCATGGTTTTTTGGCACAGGAGGTCGCCTGCAAGCTCCGGCGCCTACGGCAGCTGGCGGAGGGTTTGCCCGGCAGCGGCTGGGTGCAACCGCAGGATCTCAGGGTCTTGCTGAGGCGTGGGTGGCGTCCAATTTTAAGCTTGGAAAAAATTGGAATTTATAGTTTTTTTGAATTGATTGAATTGTGAAAATCATGAAAATTCTAAATTTTGAGCTTGGAAAAATTTTGAATACTTTGAATTTTAGAATTGAATTTTAAGAATTCTAAATTTGGAGCTTGGAAAATTTGGAATTTTACGGTTGAATTCTAAATTCACGTTATCCAAATTGTTAGAATTATTACAAGGAAAACTGCACGCGCCACATAGTACATGTTTTCCCTCGTGCCTCCACCCCCAACCCCCCCATATTGTCCGGTTCCCCCCGCCGGCACAAACTTGTTTGTGACTTGTAGCATGTTGCGGTTGTGGTAGTCTCGGTGTACGCTTTCCATTTTGGATGCCCAACCGAGTATGATTTTGAACCTGCGGCGACCTGGTTTGTTGCAGAAGCATCAGCGCTCTCACATGTTTGGGGTCCGCGGATGTGCAGATCAATTTTTGGGATAAAATAAGATTTTTTTGGGATCAATTGTTGGGATCCATGGCACCTCTCGAGGTGCTATGGCAAATGAAATGGATGACAAGATTTCATGGCCGGAGCCACGGAGAAAACTTCTAAAGAAAGATGAAACCACCGGAGGTGGAAGTGAAGCATGAAGCGACTTGGAATCTGAGTCCGGTTTCAATGGTTGTGTTGAATTGTTTCTCTACTGTGTTGGAAGTAATTTTCGGAAGCTGTTTGGCCCGAACCCGACATCATCTTGCCAACCTCGCCGACATGAGCGAGTTGAAGTCTACAAACATCCGCAGCGCGTTTGCCCTATCTTTCTGTCTGGGCATCCTTGAGCAGATCATCACAGGACCTGTTCTTGTGCTTTACCTCTACCAGATAGCCCTTGACGTTCAGGGCCCCGTCAGATCAGTCAGCACCGGGCCCAATTCGCTGGTTGGTTTCAACCAAGGTGTTTGTGGGGTGGTGAAGCTGCTCTCTGTGGCTCCCATCAGCTGGTTGGTTGATCGTGACCCCACACGTCGGGTACTACCTTTGAGGGCGTCCCTTTTCTTTGGTTTGGCCACGGTGATCATCGGAGGATTCTTGTTGCACACAGACCAGTTTGCTTTGGCGACGGTCCTTGCCAGTTGCTGTGGGATTTTCACCGAGCTTTGTCAGAGTGCTTCCAGAGCCATTTTGACTGACAGTATCCCTGAAGGCAAGAGGGAAGGAATTTTCGTCACGCAGTGGGTTTGCTACCTTCTAGGCGCAGCCAGCGGCCCATTTCTTGCAGCAGTGGCAATCCTTGCTTCGAGTGGGTCAAGTTCTGCAAGTCACGTGAAGCTTGCACTTGTATGTGGCCTGGTTGCGGTGGCTCCCATTGCCTCCATCATTTTCACCTTTGTTGATCCGCTCACCAGAGAATCCATGGAATGCGGGCCAAAGTTGACGAACGGAAATGACAGGGTCAATGTGTCGAACTTGTCAGTCAAGAGCTGCACAGGTCGCCGGGTTCCGATTCTGTGCGTGACTTGGTACGTTGTGACATTTTTTGCAGGTGGTCTCATAGTGCCTTTCTTCATCCTTTTCTTCGAGAACGACGTTCACCTGTCGCTCATTCAAGTCAACCTGCTTGAAGGATGTTCTTGGGTCGTTATCGCAATTTTCAGCAAAGCAGGGGCATGGATCTCGAAACACTGTGGCCGAGCACCTGCCATGCTTTCGATTTTCATATTATGCACTGCCCTGACTTTCATGCTTCACTTTGGATTGCCAGCCCCGATGCTCATGGTAGTTTTCCTCTTCCGCCGTGGCCTGGGGAATTGTATCAAGCCTTTGCTCGATTCAGTGGTGGCAGACTTCACCCCTTCAACAGAGAGAGGCATGTGGAACGCATTTTTGAGTATCGGTATTGTAGGTTGGTCTGGTTCAGCCTTGCTTGGTGGGATCCTGGCAGACCAACATGGCTACACCTTCGTCATTTTCATCACGTCGGTGGTCTACGCTGGATCTCTTCTTTTGTTGATGGCCTTGGTCGGTTTGGTCAGTGATCAAACTGACAAGTGCCCAACAGATCCAGTTGAAGCCGCGAGTGAGGATTCGGAACCTTCTGATGCCGAAGGCTCAGAAGAGGTGCCTTAAAGATGCGTGAAGTTGGCTTGAAGTTTCACAGTTATAATCAATTTTTCACACATTATACAAAAGAATACAAAAGCCATACACTTTAATGCTATACACTTGAAAGCTTTTGATGGAAATCATTCTGAGATCATCCATTTTTTTCATTTAGCGTCTAGAGCACTACCGAAGGGACTGTATCGACTATTTTGGACCGTCTTAGCTGACGAGGATTTCGACTAGCTGTCAAGTTGTACAGACAGACTCTTGGACCCTTCTTTGTGCGACTGCATGGACAGCCTCTACTGTTGTGATCGTGGGTTGCTTGGTCTTGCTTGGAACCCTTGCCTACTCCACTTCCTAGTACTCCTGCCCTCACGCAGGACAAAAGGAAGTGTGTGGCGCGTGCTTTCCAGTGAACATGCGAGTCCGGAAAAAAGGGATGGGATTCTAAGGGAAATCCTTGAAAGGCAAGAGGTTGGAGCCTATGATTTGAGTGAATTTGGATAGAACCTCGATCTTTTGTATTTTCATGCTTGCGTTGGATGGTGGATCAAATCTACTGCACAGAGACATGGGGTATTAACAACTAAAGACAGAGCGGGAAGGTGCTCTTTGCTGATTTCATTTGATAATAAAACTTGGTTCATTTGATAGTTCTGGTTGATTCATTGATTCTCTTGTTCGCAGCGTGGCAGCGTAGATCTAAGATTTTTTTTACCATCTGGTTATTTGTATCATAGCCATGGAAAGATCCACCCATTTTATAGCTAGGTAAACCATCTATGGGCCATCTATACCATGGCGAACTGTTAGTCATAACCAGCTTGGGTAAAAATTGGTCAAGTTTCCCCCAAGCTGCTGGGCAGGTTCCTGATAGCGCGGCAGCTGAATGTGGAACGAGCCCTGGAAATGCTGCAGAAAGTGCTGCAGTGGCGGCAGCAGCATGGCCGCTTGGGTCCAGAGAGTTCCAAGGTTTGAAGAAACTGGGGGCTGGTGGCTGACCCCATAAAGGCATAGCTGCAACATGGGTGTGTCTGAAAATGTCGTGTACCCCATTTACCCAATGGTTTTGCTGATCATTATCCCGTTTTTAAATGGCTATAATTGGGAATATACCCTATTTTCAGACAAACCCACATATTGAAAAGGCACGAATTCTCTTCAGACTTAGCAACAAATAGATCATGAGTAGGACTTTGGAGGATATAGTCTGATATAGTAGGATATAAATCATGCAAGCAATTCATATGTCAGCAACAAGCCCTGGGGGTGATAGATTCTCCCTACGGCTTCCAAGTCTAAGAAAGCTGCTGCAACGGCCCTGAGGTGTGTCCAATGCGTTGCCGTTATGGGACAAGGCCGTCTGGGTTATCCCATCCATTCAGCGACCAGACTTTCCCAAAGGCCATTGCTGGAGAGGTTGGATTAGCGACTCAGCAAATTTTAGATATATAAAATAATAGATTTATTTTTAATAGATCAAATTTAGTCTTAAATTTAGATTCATTGTGATTCATTGACCCAGCTATAATTTGGATCAACAATTTTTAGAACCTCAAAATTCTCCCAGCGACTCAGCAGAGGCGCTGCACGAGCGCTTTGATCGATACTTCAAATGCCTTGCCTTCACTGGAACGGACTTGGACGGCGATCCCGTCATTGTCGAGAGGCCGAAGCGGCCGAAGCGGTTAAGAAAACATAGAAAACGGGGGATGGGTCAAGTTATACCATGTTATACCTATGACATGACCATACTTTTTTTGGGCGATTACCATCGATTAACCAGCTTTTCTTGGGTACCTATGGCCTATAGGGAGGGTTTTGACCCATAGCCAAATCTCTTTGAGATGCTGAAACGATTCTGATGCTGGTGTGGAAGTCCATTTTTCCCCTGCCGCATCATTACTTTTGGTGGTTAGGAGGGAGGGGCAGTTGGAGCAATATAGGCGTCATCAATATTCCCAACAAACAATGGTGAGTCAGTTGGAGCTACGAATTGACTTTCCCAGCCACGACCGATAGATGAAAATTGCAAGAGATTCACCTCCTGAAGTTCCATCAAAGCTGTTTTGTTCCTCAGACATTTTCAGACTACGGTTTTTTGTTGATGTGCGCCTGACAATGTGCGACTTCGGTAAGTTACTAAGTTACAGGTCCCTGATCTGAGCGTTTTCCCGATTGACACGGCTAAAATTGGTGGGGCTGGTGGCCTATTTTCAAAGACACCAATATCATCCATGGGCGATCCCCGAGTCACCATGGGTTTCAAGACGAAAATGGTCGTTTATGACTGGGATGATTTGGGGCTACGCCCATTTTTGGAAACCCCCTCCCAAATACCAAGGAATTAATGAATCTGGGATAGTCTGCATGCAGCTTCTAAGCCAGAAAGCGCCTGCACGCTGTCATATCGCTGTCGGTCCTCATGATTTCGGGCGCTCTGCATCTATACAAGCACTCCGGAAGAAGTCATTTCTACAGGTGTTATCATATTTGAGAATGGCTACAACAGAAGTTCTTCTAGTATACCCCATATACTCCATGTATGGATTTGTTTACCAACATTTATGCCATAAATGAGCCAAATGTAGGTAAATATACTATACATGGAGCATATGGGTACCAGGTCAAAATGTTATATATCACCAGATAATTCCCCTTTCAGGGTGTGCCATGTCCCTGATCTCCTGGTTGTGAGGTGCGGCAAGGTGCACGTTCAGAGTCTTGCGAAATGTAGCGAGGACTTTCTGAGGAGACATGCCACTGGGATCATGTTTGCAGCGTCTAACTATTGATCACCTAAAAGATAGAACTGTGTTTCCAGGAGGTTACAGATGATATATGATGATATCATATGATATGTAAGAACTAGTACATCCAGAATTTCCCCGTTTCCGACGTTTCCATCTGTTTCGGGGGTTGCAAGGCAACATGAAACGTCAGAACGCGACGTCACTGAGATGGTTGCTTATTGGAGTTATGTTCGCCAACTTTGCGATCTACCAATAGGGGGGCCCACTTTGTAGCATTTCAATCCATTGCATGCCTTTTTGGCTTTCTAGGTGGCCACGGATGGATGTCTCCTTAGGTCATTATCTATGTCCCAGCCAGCCATTGTCGTTTAGATTCCAGCATTTTCTGAGACGAACGTTGAAATAATCCCCTCCCCCAATGTCAAACACTCCATTTCTATGGCCCCCAAATGTCAATACTAATATGTGGAAATCCCCAATTGAACATATTAAACCATTGTTTCTCGGCTATAAGTTTTCTATGTCTGGGTGAAACAGTACCCAAAAAAATGTAGTGTAATATAACTCGACCAACACTTTGTGGGGGAATCGAGGCGTTCGTTTGTTTTTGAATCTTCACTTTTTGGCGACAAAGATATAGAGTTTCGAGGAATAATATACAGGACTTGTTCAACACCTTCAACAAATGTTTGGGAGGGTTTGGCAACCACCATACAGATGAGAATGGTGTTTGAAGAATTGAGTGATGCCCGAAACCCCTGCTGGTAGTTGTTGATCTTGGAACCCAGCCACCCAGCCAGCTAGATGTTTCAAGAATGGGCATCCGCAACCACTGGATCTTAGGTCCTGACTCAAGCATTTGGCTGTGTCTGAAAATGATTGGATGTAAAAACCCAAAAGAATCAGTGGATCATCATGATGTTCATGTTTTTTTGCCATGAACATGACAATTTTATTGGTGTAAATCCCCCATGTTCAGTCACACTCAGCAGCCCAGGTCATATATAGCGCAGACGCTCTGTTGCACTGTTGGGCTTGCGGGCTTGGGAAGGGTGCTGTGTCCTGCTCCTTGTGCCATGAGATTGTTCAATTTGTTTATATAACTACAATGTAGGGCGAAACGTGATGTTGTTTTATAAAACCCATGAACAGTATAGTTTTATAAGTATAACCCATATACTTACTTGAGTTACCTTCACCAACTTAGCTATTCTCGTACACGGGGGCTCCACTTTGTAGCTTTTGGCAGTCAAACATGGCTTATTTATAGATGTTTAATATTTATAGATATTTATAGATGAATTTTCAATTATATAAAGCTTCATGCGTAGGGGATTCCCATGGATTTCCTTATGCTATGTTTGATTCCTGGAGCACTGGAGGGTATTTATTATATTTTATTATTATATATATATATATTATATAAATACAGTGGTCAGCCATGTGTTCATGGTATTTAAGATAGGGTCTGAAGCGATTAAAGTGGGGTTTCCAGAAGACAGGTTGCATCGAAAATGATGTACTTTCCAGACTTTTCAATTCATACATAGAGATCAGTTGCATGGGAGCATTATTGGAAGATGGTACTGGTATGTAAGGTCGCTTCAAAAACTGAACCCCAGCCATTTCCCCTATGAAAATGGCAATTGGCGGTAAATCCGCCATTTCTGGACCAACCCATTTCTGATGTCAATTGATTAAGCTGTTCTTGTTGACCATACTGGCAGGGATACTTGTGCCTTTCAGGTATGATTTCGGTGGGGTAAGCTCTCTTGCATGTAGGTTGACGGATCTGTTTCTAGACCACGCAACCCATGGGCACAAATTTTAATTGGCACTGATTACTGATTGCATGGCAAGCAGATGTGTCTAGCAGCTTAGCAACTAGCAATTAATTACTGGTTGTTTTTGGAAGCGTTGCCATTGTTGTGGGGATTTACTCTTGACCTGTGAGTAATTACATGGAACCTTGCAGCCTGCAGCCCCTATTTACCTGAGTCGCAAGTTTCACAATGCAGTCTCATCAGTGTCATAAGTGACCCATGACCTTCTACCGAAAGAACTCAGATTATCGAGAGAATGCATGTGCCATCATGTGCCCCAAATTCTAAGTGTTCTTACCCAATCTTACCCATATCCATTATATATCCCAGATTTATGATGATTTATGGATACTTTGAGGGTCAAAGAACTCATCTTGGATCACGTGGATCCAGGAATGCGTCCTGGCATCCCTGGAACGCAGCCGGCAAGAGAGCTGCAAGGATGGAACGATCCGTGGATTTCAGGCGGCTCAGCGGCTCAGCCGGTCCCAAGTGGCGTGTTTTTTTTCTTCGGATCCGTATAGATTTCGTGGCATAGGCCATGGTATCATGAAAACATCAATGCCCCCTAAATGCCTAAATATGGAATAGGTGGTGGTTTAATGGGATTGAATGGGATTTTATGGTGATTCATATGAATTTAGCCAACACAAATATCGGATATTTATGGGAAATACCCTCCAGCAATGGAGCATAACATAGTAGCTATGGAAGCCATGGCCCATGAAAATAGGTGATATGCCTCTTAAAATTACGTTTTTAAATAGCAAACTGTTGGATTACCAGACGGTACAGCCCCTGAAAAACTGTTTCGATATTGTCGTGATCTTCCTGGTCCACGTTACATCGTCAATTTAGGGTGTATATATGGGATCAAATAGGATATGTATATATATATATATGTAAGAGGAATCATCTCCAAATGACCGAACTATTCAAGTCAGTGAAATATTATAATTTACCCAGATAGATATATATATATATAGTATAATTGAGTCAGAGTTACCCTGAATTGTTCAGATAATGTCTAAAAGGAATGGAACATAAAACATTACTTGAATCATGGGTTTGGAACTAGAGGTTTTGTTATCAGCGACTCCCCTTCCACCCATCTCCAGCGACTCGCGGTCTCTTTTCTCCGCAGTTCACCGTGGTGATCGATTTGGAGGAGATTGATGCTTGGATTTTTTGAAGAGTAGGAGTGGGACGATGACATGGCAACCCATGGTATATGGACTCAAGGGACCTACATGTTTTTAGATTCAACACAATACCCATAGGATCCATGGTGCTGGTATATCAATGCTAACATAAAGGTATATTGATGGGACCCATGTTACCATATATAGCAGCACCATGGATCCTATGGGATATAGATTGGATGTTTATTTTGCTGTGCACTTTTTAGGCGATAAAATGACCACAACACCCCTGGTTTGATAACCGGTGAATGACCGTCCCAGCGAACTAACCCTGGCGCAATTTCCGGTGTTTATGTGTTTGATGTGGCAGGGGCCCACTGGGGGAACCTCAATTTAGTTCGGGAACTTCCTAGCCACCTTTGAGAAAACGTTTGAGTGTACTTAAATATATACTTAGATTTTCATTAATGACCAGGAACTTTAACCAAACAAAAAATACATCTAATCGCTTTGGTTTAGCTCGTGTGGACCCAGTATTTTTTAGGACACCAGTGGCTCAGTTTCCCAGTGATCCATGGCAATCGACCAATTGAGAAGTCGATAAAGGGCTGTTGGGAATATGTTTTTCTGTAACCCACTATCCTCTGGTAATTTAACATAGTTACAGGATGTTACAGGTATGGACAATTGCCATTTTGGATAGGCAAATCATCTATGAATTGTTTTTTCCATAACTATGTTAGATTAGCAGAAGGAAAATCCAGTAAATATCCCCATGTTTGTGATCTAAAGCCCTATGAATCACCGTTGAGCCCATTGAATCCCATCAAGCCATATCAAGCCACCATAGCTTGCCATAAAATCCCAATCAAATCCCATTCCCTCCCGTTAAACCACTATAAAATCCCATCTAAAAGCCATGAAGTTTCGAGGGTCGCCCCCGGGCTCGATCTCAGGATATGAGTTTCGCAGATCGCAGGCTTTTGGCGTTGAGCAAAGCCATGGGGCGTATCGAATCGGAGAACTATCCGGAGGTCCTGAAGAGTCTTTGCAGATTCAGAAGATCTGATTTTCCTGGGTATTTTGTTCTAAACCTTGGTATTTACCGTGTTTGTACATAAAACTAATTATTTTATGTATATACATATAATTTCACAGATATGATTACAACATATAAGTGTATTTATACATACATAAGAACTCTGCTATAGGGAAAACAACGTATATACCTATATATATAAGGATACATATATATAATATATATATATATATATATCATGGTAGGCTGCTTTGTTTTCGGCCGTACTGAGGAATGTACACTCTCTAGCTGAACACAATTTTCTTGGATCTAAAGTCGGCAATGTTTTGATTGGATGAGCCGACTTGTGGGTCTGTTGATACCCTGTGTTGTTGCACAACATCATTATGCTTCTAAAGGATTTTTGTAAGATCTGGTTCTATAGGAATATCATTGTGGTATATATATATTGTTCTAATTATTCTTGCATAGCCAGACACTGGGGATGGCTGAATTGTCGAAGGACAGTTTGAAGTGGTTAAGTGACATGTTTGTTTCATTTTTGCCACCTTTCCAGGGTATTGCTAAGTGTGTTTTCTTTGTCCAATTTAGTGTGCCCATCTAAGAATTCGAGTTTAGGACATTCAATTGCAGGACATAATTCAAGGCTTGGTAAATGTCCTATTTTTGGGGATTTGTTTCACATCACTTTCAAATATGTGTTGAAGAGTATATCCCAAAAAAAATTGGGTGATGTGAAAAATTAGGACATTTATAAAGCCCCTTTAATTCAAGGTATCTCAATGTATCCCCCATGAATTTTGGTTGCCTCCAGCTGCAGACTGGGTCCTGGGTAGCTCTGTGGATCCCAGTGGTTTCACCCTATAAATTGGATCAGTACTTTGCTGGCGATATAACTTGGATTTGCTGAAGATGATTTATTATTTTTCCATATGGCAAATCCACTACTTGGGGAATCTTTTTGGGGAATAGTTTTTATATTTTTTGGTGGTTCCTTAAGCAAATCCATGATAATCTTCAACAGATATTTGAAAGTGATGTTCAAAATCCCCAAAATACGACACTTACCAAGCCCTGGATTTGTACATCGGCTCAAAATGATTGATCCGCCAAACAGCTTAGACATTGGCTGGTGAGACTAAATGTCGCCAAGAAATGACGTCAATTTTATCTCACCAAATGAATCTTAGCCGACTGGGACTGGGGACGACACTGCTACAGCGAAGGAGAGTAATAGTGGTCCGCGCACCCTGGTTTTTCCCCGCAGTTTTCCAGCTGCTGGTCCAGAATCCGTGGGGTCGGGCTTATCGAGACACTTGGGGGTTTCCTAAAAAGAGGGTACCCCAAAAACGCACGCTGGATGGTTTATTTCGTGGAAAATCCTGCTAAAATGGATGATTTGGGGTACCCCCCATAGCTGGAGATGCCAGGAGAAACAGACAGGATTACACAGACATTGTCCAATATGTGTAAGGGTGGGGCCTTGTCATTTGCGATAAGTAAACCACTTAAGTATACTTAAGTTGGTTTAGCTCACTTGGTGAGTTTTTTGGTTTCTGGGGGAACAGTTATAGCCACCTGGTGGAAGTACCCAAATTGGATTTCCCAACCAAAAATCCATTCCCCCGGCCCTCAAACACCGGCACTGGTGAAACGTATAGGGATTATGTTTATACGACTGGGACCATTTACAGGGTGTTTAATATGTTTTTAATTTATTACGGAGATGGGAATGGAATTTGAAATTTGCTAGTCATTTTCAGTACAAGCCGCTGATTGACCTGGTCCTGGCCATCCTCAAATCCAGTTCCAGTTCCGGTTATCATCTACTGGCTCACCATTTTGAACAGAAAACCATCCTATCCCACGGCCATGTCCCACTGGAAAACTCTCCCCTGTAGAGTGATGAAGATTGGCTGATGGTGTCTTGTCACCAATCCATCCATTTCTGGGACGAAAGATCCAGGATGTTTAAACCCTTCATGGACCCCGGCACGGTGGCAAAGATTTCGGTGCCTGGTCGACCCTTTTGCTGACCGGTGGGAGACATCATTCAAGATCATCCATACCCAAGCAACTGGATGGGTAGTGGAAATGCATGAAAATGCTGGAGTTTTTTTTTCTATAAATGGAAAATTAGCGAAGAATCCAGCAACAGATTATTTGTTTGTGGACTACCAAAGATGGATTGGATCCATGATGATCCATGAAACATGTGGTGAACCGAACAAAAATTGGGATGGCATGGGAAGCATCAAATATGTGTCGGGGATTGCTGTAAACTAAAGTCGTGGATGGTTGGGGCACCATTGTTTGATTGATGTCTAATTACAATCATGTGGTTAAAACAATAATAAACCATCCCCAAGATCACCATAGATGGGGGTATAAACATGTATCTGTACAAACCATCACACATGGGGTGGTTTATTATTGTTTCAACCACAATACATTGCAATACATTGCAATACATTACATATACACATATACGTACATTAATGTATATACATGATGTATACATGTAATAATACATCAGAAAGCCTCTCGAGTTCAAGTTCAATTGGCTGGTTGGAGATATCCAATTCCTTGGTTAGCTGGCCGACCCTGCATCAGTTGTATCAGGGGTGTATACCTGTGCTTGTTGTTGACTGAAAGATATTGCAATGCAATATGTTATGTTTTTTATTGGTTGATTCAGTTATTGCCGATGTCCCTATTGTTGGTCACTGCTCATTGTTGTTGATATCCACCATTGGCAACTCGAAGTTGCCATAGCTATATGTGATATATGTGATTGAAAGATACATAATATACCCATGATTTTGGGGTTTGTTGTATTTGCCTTGTTTGACATAGTTGTTGCTGTCACAGATGTCCTGTCCCCACTATGGTTGAGTAATAGAGGAGTCACCCCCATTCTTACCACCAATACCCTCCAGTAAATCAATATAGACCCTGGCAGTTGTCGGGGTTGAAAGATTAGTTTCCACCAACAATTTATGTCTTTATTAATATACCAGAGGGTAAGAGGATAGATGAATTATGACGTACATGGTATGCCAAACTGACCCCAACGTCCAACGTCCAACGTTCTAAATCTTCCTATCTTTGCCCATGATGTGTAGCTATTTACCATGTTACAACAACCTATGTTTTGGCCTCGGCAGATTGGCATATCGTTTTCCAAGGGGGAAAATCGCTGATGTGTTTTGCAGATGAAAAGCTGAAGCTTGAGGGAAATCCCGGCTTTTAATTCATCTGAACAGAGTTCCATGTGGTGGGCATGGGGCAATTCCCATAAGGCCGTGTCTGAAAATGGGTGTATGTCATGGTATATCATCTGGTTGGTGGTTTCAAACATGGCTTGAACAAATTTCCATCATATATGGGATAATCCTTCCCGTTGACTTTCATTCATATTTTTTCAGAGGGGTTGAAACCACCAACCAGTCTTATATGTCCCAATCCCATCCCCCTAATTTAAAAAAAACACCACCGTTGTATGGTCCCAAATATGAGCTTTTGAACCCTTCATCCAGCATGGTTTCTGCGTGTTGTTTGGGTGTTTAATATGAACGGGGGAAGGGATTATCATCTATCAATGGCCAGTAAGTGGGGCTGTAGCCCATATATGTATGTTTCTTTTTTCCTGGTTACGATATAACCATCTAGCCATTTATCAGTTTGTTGTGGAAAACGCCATACAGGGTGGTACCCCCAAGTATAGATATAACCGCCATAAACTGAACAGTTACTGGTTGGTGGTTTCAAACATGTTTTATTTTCCATAATACATGGGATAATCCTTCCCATTGACTAATTTGTTCAAGATGGTTAAAACCACCAACCAGATAAACTGAACAGTTCAATTGGAGTTATGTTCACCAACTGAGCTACCATTAGATCCCATTAGATCCCATTGTATCCCACGAAATCACGAAATCCCCTTAATTTCCATCGAAACCAACATGTTACACGCGTTTTTCAGGTTTTAGTAAGTTAGTAAATATGCAATCCCGTGAAAAATTACCATTAGATCCCATTAAATCACCATGAAATCCCATTAGATCACCATTGTTTGCTTCCAAAAACCTCCAACGTTCGACTTTTAGGGCACCCTGTACCTAGGTCCCCAAGGCTCACGAGACCAGGGACGTCTTGTTGCGGCATGTGCCAGCCACGGCTATCCCAAAGGTGGTGGGTGGGGGTGCAGCAGGTGGATTTGGTGGTTATAATTATAGATGAATAATAATAGCAAATGGCTAATAAATCATAATAACTATAATAATAATTAGCTGGTTGGTGGTTTGGACCATTTGGTTTAATTAGCAACCCAATGGTAGTTGACCATCAGATGGTTAGATGTGAATAATTCGACTGGTTAAACCACTGGTTGGTGGTTTGGAACATGTTTTTCCCATATTTATTTTTCAATATATTGGTTATAACATGTTATACTAATAAGAATTAGGTAATTATAGATTAATTAGCCGTACCTTCTCAGACAGTGGCCATGGATCCACAGGGAATTTCACCATCCCAACTGACGAACTCATATTTTTTCAGAGGGGCAGGTATACCACCAACCAGATAAGTTAATTATAGCTTAATTAGAGTTGTAATTATTACGTGTCATTGACTGTAGTTAATTACTTATGACACTAACCAATTAGTTGGTTTAATTAATCTATAATCATTGTCAATGACCATAGTTAATTATAGATTAATTAAACCAACTGATTAAACCATTAGGTTAATACCTTTTGCATGGAATACCACCAGTTTTATAACTTTGGTGGTTTTAATATTAATAGTCATCAATAGTGATTATTAACTACTTTGGTGATTATAATATTAATAGTCAACCCATTAGTAGCCATTGATCAATAGTGATCACTTAACAGTGATCAATGACCATTGATTGACCATTGACATGCTGTAGTTTTTATTAATAATGATTTGTAACTGTTAAGTATTGATCAATCGTGATTATAACTGTTATAAAATTTTCTTTGGATCCAGCTGTACCTTCTTAGGAAGTGTGACTGAGGTATGATGACCAGGGGGTTAGCCGTACCTTCTCAGACAGTGTTTGGATCCATAGGGACTAATAATTAATCCATTATTAATGGCTACCCATGATTAACTATGGTAAGTAATAGTGTTTATATATAACTTTGGTGGTTATAATCATAGTGCCATTATGGTAACTATTTGCACCAGGTTATACCTAACAGTGGTTATGATTCATGATAAATAATTATGGTAACTATGGTTTAATTGGTCATTATAATTGATTATAACTCATAGTTGGCCATAACTATGGTTGTTTATGGTAGAATCAGTCTTAGCTACAGTGGTTGATTTATACGAACTAGCTAGTATGAGTAGTGTTTATGGCAGATTGTCATAGATTATCTACAGTAGATTTATGTTTAGTTAATCAACAGTATATGTTATATACATAAAAAATATACGTATAGATTCGTATAGATCTAATAGTCATCTATTGTGCATGGTAGGTATCTCTCTAGTTGATTGGGGAAGTGCTGGGGTCTTAGCCCCAATTACCACTATGGCGCTAGTGGTTACCCCAGTAAGTGGGGTGTATAAGCCAACTATAGACACTAGTAGCTATAGATATCTGGTTGGTGGTTTCGGACATTTTTCATTTTTCCATATACTGGGAATAATCATCCCAACTGACTTTCATATTTTTCAGAGGGGTAGGTCAACCACCAACCAGATAAACCCTAGTAACTATAGATATATTTGCCATAAAGTTTATAACCCTAGTAACTATAGATGACCCTAGTAAGTATAGATATATTTGACCATAGTAACTATAGTTGTAAAGCAATCTGGACCAAACTTCGCGAACTATGCAGTTACCATTCCTGCCACGAGTTGCGGGCTGGAAGACGCCGAGCACTAAGATTTAATTCTCAAGGGCAGACTGTTTGTCGTAAGGATGGTATGTTTGTTGGTGTTCAATCATTAAACTATAGACATTAATCTACCATAAACCCTACCAAATAATAATAATAATAATAATAAATATATCTTCCTGTGTGGAAATGGCAGAACTCCAGTGGACCAAATTGATTGGTTCAAATTGTATAATTGGCATCCCGTGTCCAAGCCATGTAATGTCTATCCAGCAGGGGAAGGGATAACAAGGTGGCCCAACATGTTGAGTTACCCTACCATTTCCTACATAGAAATCTACCATTTATGCCATAGAATTCACCTGGTTAGTTCAACCAAGTTAGCTTACTATGGTTCCCCACTTTGTATGGATATCAATGCCCAACAGCAGTAATCTGTGATATTAATGCCGGACTATCAGCCCACCAGCACGGGAATTTCAGATTGTTCTTCAGGAAATCTGATTTATGAAAGGTACACATATCAACTCGGGGTAAATTATAGTAGTGACCTCACTGTGACCGAGCCCTGGAATCATGGGGACAGGATTCGGGGAATGATCCTTTTCTTTATGGCCTTACCTCAGTCTGGTGAAAAATGTTTTTTTAACGCAGATCAACTGTAAAACGTACATGTTCCCTGACACCCCATAGCCGTTCAGGACTTGGGTGGATGCTTGAAGGATGAGGCTGGTTCGATTTGCTGATTGCCGTTGCTGGACCTGGTGCAGATTGCATGTTTGTTTGAAGAGGGGAGGTAGCCATTACAGTAACCTGACTATGAAAAGGTGGTTTGGGAGGAAAAGAGAAATTTCAGGGGTTACAGCTGGGGCACTCCTTGTGTTGAAGAAGAAGAAGAAGAATAGTTCGTGATACTGTGGACGGAAGAAATCCTGCACCAGGTAATAGGTGGTTTATCCCATTATTTATAGGTTTTCTACCATCCCAGGTGGTGCAGGATTTCTTCCATCCACAGTATGACTACATACATGTAATATGGTTGGTTACTTGGAGGGTCGTCTCGCTCATCATAAATGTATGGGATATCCTTCTGGTAGTCGGATAGATATACTATATCCCCTTTTCGAGAGGTAGATAGTCTACTACTGTAACAATGAGTAAGTATGGTTGATAAACCTATGGTTTATCGTAGTTATACATTTGTCCCTATGGATCCAAATGTACCTTCAGATGGAGTGTAACTGTGATCAAATTTAGGTGGCTCGCCGTATCAGGAAGCATCCGGATCCTTATTCCATTCTGAAGCTGTTGAACATACTTGGCAAATCTTACATGTATATATTGATCCATGGATTAAATCCAGGAAAGTGGACATGAAACCATGGCGCGATAATTTTCCAAATATATGATACCACAATTGGATTCATACTCTACATTTTGGGAATTCTGGTTTCTGGTAAGTATATCTACTTTCATCACGAAAAAAAACACCACTTAAAATAGGTAAATCATTGAACTAAATGGATCGGGCCACGGCTGGCGCAGGTGCAGTTGCTTCCGCCTGGTGGGGTGCTCCCACAGGACATCATCGATCGCACCTATCAGAAGTAGCAACGTGCAGGCAAGCACCATTTGGTGGGCATGGGGCAATTCCCATAAGGCCGTGTCTGAAAATGGGTGTATATCATGGTATATCATCTGGTTGGTGGTTTCAAACATTTTTTCATTGACTAATATTTTTCAAGATGGTTAAAACCACCAACCAGTCATGGTACATCCCAGAAATGTAATGAAATAATGGGAGAAATATTTCGGGGGACCCTATTTTCAGACACGCCCATAAAGAAGGGAGAAACAATTCCATGTGGAAATGTCTTAATCATATAATGTTTCCCTTTGAAGCTGCTATTTTACCGCTATCCCCCCACTTGATCAGAACCACAGCAAGGCTCGCATTTTTTTTTCATATTTTTCAGGGTATCTGGCTTTCAACCCATACAGGTTCAATTTGCTGACTGTGGCGTTTCAGGTGGGGTGCCTGGCTCTGCGTTGGCAGACTGTGATTACGACTGGATGTTACAAAGCCCCGCCATGTCAGTGAGAACCTTGCCACATCAGATTCACAGACAATCGCTATATTCTGATGGCAGGGACTGTGGCAAGATATCACCTGGATTCCACAGCTGAACATTTGATTGCACCTCTAGACAAAGCAGGTTGGAAGGTAGACTATTTCTACTCCTTGTACGATGGTAACCTGGCTACTAACTCAATGACCAACCAGTTGGTACCTGTTTCTTCCTTTTTTGAGGCTGTTGGGCCCGACAAAACTGGAGGTGCGATGGCAAATCCCAAGTTTCTCAGTATGTGCTGCCGGATTGCAGGTCTAAACTTCAATTTTACATGGAATTGATGGTTATTAACGTCCCATTGGATCCCATTGGAGTTTTTTTTCTGAGTGGGCTTACCTCTGTGCAAACGGATTTTGGCTCTGGCAGCACAAGGAGGTGTCTCGACACCACGTTTCACATAGAAGCTGCAGATCATGATCGGTTGAACCGCTTGGGATAGTAAATTGCTGAAAGGCAACTCCGCAGAACCATCCGGAGATATGATGAGATATGATCGAAGGCGCTTCGGCTCTCCCTACTAACCTTGAGGTTTAAATATGGCCTCCAGCTGACGACCATCATAGACCCCTGAGAATTTAATTGTGTCACTGATTTCAACTTTAATCCCTTCCAGGCAAACCTTTGAGATAGGAAACCAGGGTGATAAAAAAAAAACAACTAATGACTTGGGGTTTATTTAATCTTATAGGCTTGCCTTTTGCAGGTTTTCACTTGTTTGTCATGGTGACCGTGAGGAGTTCTTCCTCTCGGAAAATCTTCTGGGCAGTCAGAATTTCGAACTCCTAAGTTCGTTGTTGAATGTTGAACATGATCAGGACCTTTTTTGTTCCCTAGGTCAAAAGTTGGATTTTATACTTATATTATCCTATATTGGGGGATGGTCACCAATCCAATCGAAATTGTATTAATTATAAATGACTAATATATTATAATGGATCTAATTATAAATTATAATCCCTATATATTTATAATTGTTCATAGGGATCTAATGGGATCTATGTATCAATTTAATACATGACGTCAAAAAAGGATTCCATAGGATTCCCATGAAGATGGATGGATGACATAAACCATAGTAAACCATAGTAAACCATAGTAAACCATAGTAAACCATAGTAAACCATAGTAAACCATCTATATACATCCACAAAAACTGTGTTTTGACTCTAGAACTTGGCGTTGTTGCAGCCCCAAGCGGGACTTTTTTCCATAAGCATGGGGCAGACATGGTCTGCGGAATGGTGGAATCACGACACCCGCCGGTGGGTAGCCGGCCCATGCCGGCCCACAACAGAAGAGAAGATATGAACATTAAAATACATATCCGTACCCATAGGATCCATGTATGGTATATATGCTAACATGACTGGGGTATATTGATGGTAAATGTTAACATAGACCCTGAAAATAGCCTAGTTTTAATGGAAACTAATCTTCCAAACCCTATCTGCCAGGGTCTTCCAGGGTCTATGTTAATTTACCAGAGGGAAAAATACATATCCCTATGGATCCAGCCGTGCCTTCTTAGGAAGTACGACTGGGGTATGATGACTAGGGGGTCAGCCGTACCTCCTCAGACAGTGGCCATGGATCCATAGGAATAAAATGGAATAAATACATTAAACAACAAAGCAGATGTGGATGTGGCCATGAATCAATATGGGTATGGGTCAATACCTATTAATGTCATTTTTAATGGGATGAACATCCATTTACCAGCTATTTTGATGTTCACCTGGGGGATAGGGTTTTGACACACTGCCATATAATTATAGGTGGGGCATAAAGATTATAAAGGATCCCTTTCCTTTGTAGAGGGTGATCTCCACCGATGTTTTCCCGTCGCTGGTGGCAGCTCGTTGAAGACGATTTGACACTGACACGACTGGTCGACTGGTCGACAGTTTCAATCGTCAGCCGCAACGCGGTGCCTTCAACGGTGTCCCTCTCATCCCAATCTCATTGGTGGTTTGGAACATGTTTTATTTTTCCATATATTGGGACTAATAATCCCAAAATGACTTCCATATGTTTCAGAGGGGTAGGTCAACCACCAGATCCCCAGCATCCATTGGTTTTACTAAGTTGTGATTCATGACGACTGGATGACCGGGGGTATCCCTATGACAAAAAGGAAAACTCCAGTCCAATCATTGAAATCCAAGTATCGATATCGATATCCGTATCTATGTTTGATGACTATTTCATATAGTCACTCAACAGCATGATCCATGCCTTTTTGCATGCAACTGCATACATACAACATATAATTCATATTTACATAATGTTTCATATATAGGTTGAAGGATGTTGAAGGTACATGCATACCTAGCTTTAGGTGAGACGTCTATAGTCAAATGACTATGACACTATGCTTAGATGGTTCACTGCCCAAGGAGCAAGTGAATCGGTCAGACCGCTTCGCGCAGAGGGCAATGTTGAAAGTTGAGATCGTGTTCGTGATTTCACCCAAAAACATTGAGATTCACCACTTTTATTTTGACATGGAATTGATGTTTGAATGATGGGTTGCTGGCTATCATTTTTTTTTCCACTGAAGGGGTTGGGGAGATTACGGACTCTGCAGGCTGCGACCAAGAAGACCCTCAACCAGTAGGAGATGACAGGGGGCTGGGCACTGCTCACCAGATCCTCCAGATATCCTCCAGATATCATTTGTTTTTTTTTTCAGAAGGATATGCATAGTTCATCAACACATTTTCTAATTGTGAGGGAGTTTCATTTTTTATTAAGTTCACACAGCAATCCTCACAATGAACTCTATATCCCATGAAGCAACAGGCTAAAAGTCGGCCTTTCTTTTCCAAAATTCAGCTCGATTCCATCGCCAACAGATCTGGTTTGCGCCAAGACCAGGATGACTTGGATACCAAAGAATGACCCAAGAAATCCCCCCAGTTCAGCCCATGTTCACCCCCAGAGTCATCATACTTACAATGTGAGGCCCCCAAACGATAGCTAAGTTGGTGAACATAGCTCCAATAATTATGGTTTATGGTACTTATAACTATAGTTACTTAGGCGAATCTAAACCAACTAACATCACTGGGGGGGGGGCCACATTGTAGTAATACTTTAGTATAGGGGATTGGACGACCGTGGGAGCATGGGATGGGAACAGCAAGACCTTTCAGATCCTCCCAGTGTGGGCAACCTGAGGTCAGTCTTACAGTCGGTCATGGCAGTGTGGTGGGACATCCCACACTGGACAAGGCGGGTGGGTAAAGAGACGTGACAAGATTCGGGTTTTCCCCTGATACCCCATTACTAGACCATCCAACATGTACAGGATATCGAACTGGTTTCTATTATTCTAGTATTGAAACTTATGGGTTTAGGGTACCCCCTTGTCTTGAGAAATACCCAGATGGA